CTACTCACTCACACACAGAGCTCCTGCAACTACTCACGCTCACACACAGGGCTCCTGGACCTACTCGCACTCACACACAGAGCTCCTGGAACTACTCGCGCTCACACACAGTGCTCCTGGAACTACTCGCGCCCACACACAGAGCTCCCAGGACCATACACAATTTTACAGTCTCACTGCTGTCTGTCTGCAAGGAGGGGACATGTTAAATCTGGACAATCAACTGGCGTTGTTATTCCTGTATCTTGGACCATCCTACTTGATCGTGAGCACTTCCTTCGGAGTGAAGTTTGTAAATTAAAATAAAAGTATCTGCTAGCATTGTTGAAGTTTTTTTGAAAGCCGAGTATTCCTCAGAAGGGACCTGGTCCACCTCCTCTTTTAACACTTCAGCCTTTCAGTCAACATGGCTCATATCTCTTCCACACCCTGCAATGACAGACTGTGCTGAAACATTCCCATGCTTGTTACTTGATGTCTTATTTATTTCTCTAAGAGGCCGAAATGCTTCAGCCATGATATTGCACCCAGAGAATGTCTTTTTTTTTGGTTAGACATATTACTTGTTAACACAAATTCTATGGCTTGGTTTTGCCAGTATTACACTAGAGAAATTATTTCTTTACAGCACTATGCTGACAGTAACCCTGGTCAGGTACAGCACATTGATAGGAAACCTACTCATGTTTTGCGTTGGAATGTTTGTACGTTCAATTTTCATCTTATTCATGTTTTGTTTTTCATTTTGTACAGTTAAAAATATTTATATACTGTATTTTCCTAATCTGTCATTTCCCAATGTACTGTACTAATATAAACAATAAGGACAAAAGGTGACTCGTAATTCAGAGGTTTGTATGTTCAGGTCTGATCCTTTTACTGTAATAATGGGGGATTTAATGTAATGATGCTGCATAGCTCATTTATTCTTTGTGTGGCTGTAGTCTTCATTTGACAGTTTTTTATGTGTAGTTTTGAATGAAGTACCCCTGTTTTCTAACCTCTGTATAAATGGATGTTTTTTGAATAAATGGAATACAAATAATTGTTTAACAGCACATTGTGGTTTATAAATATAGCATCTGATATTCATAAAAGCAAAAGTACAGTTCTCTACTTTCAGCAGCCATTGTTAATTTATAAAGCATATTGTAAAAACCAAACTGCACATTGCACTTTATTATAGTACCATGTCTGCAAAATCACAACCAGAGGTAAATGTCTTCACTGTGTTACCCATTTGTGCAGACCTTGCAAATCGGACACTTTGAGGCTTAGCTCAGCAGCAGGTGTTCTGGAAAGTCTTGACCACCGTCAGTTCACTACCTGCCTGTGGTCCACAGTAATTCGGTACATTGACCCATCTACCAGCAACTGGAAAACCCACAGTCTGTTTGCAGGTTTCCTCTGGGGAGAGCAAGAAGCCTCTGCCAAACAGCCAGCCTCCACTCAGCACGGGGTTTGCAGTTTGCTGCAGACAGGCAGCCTGAGGCCTAGGTTACTGAGCTACAAGTGACCTCCAGGAGCGTGAAGGACAGCAGTGGATACAGGACAGGGAGGTGATTGTTCACATTCCTCACACTCTCTCCATTCCCCTTCCTCTCTGACCTCTGCACAGGCAGGCGTCTGGTACAGCCAGCACTCATTCAGGCAGCTGACTGCAGGTGAAAAGCACAGAGCAGGTCTGACTCCTGGAGCCGAGAATATGCAGGGCAAGCTTGAAGGCTGGCCCTTCCCAGTCTTGGGCAAGGTATCGTTAAACACAGACCTGTGGACCCATTAACTATGGTGTCATGACAGGGGTTGGGCACCTGTGGGCAAGTGCTCCCAGGCGAGTGTGCAGCAGCTGAACCTTGCAGGAAGCTCGGAGCTGTTTGGCCACGCCTCATGCGTGATCCAACTGCAGTGCTGGGATTTCCTGCTCTGAACGCAATGGTGTGACAGGGAAACCCACACCAATAGAGGGCAAAACATTCCTGGGTGAAAAATACCAATGTTAATTTTTTTCTAAAAAAACTTTTCTGCTCTTTACACTGTGGTGTCTGTAGGGAATGTAAAGAAATACATCCATGTAGATTTATGACAAAATTATACTGAAATTAGAGGAAATGTTGCTCTCTGCGCCTTTTTTTCTTCTTTCTTAAATTGCCCAATTGAGTTCCTGTTAAAACAACATACATACTCCCAGTACACAGAGAGAGCACTGAGATCCGTCACCACTTTGCAATAATCTAAAATCTTTCACCAATAAAAAGACACATTGTCTCCACTTCAGCGGTGTTGCCAGCTCCCCTGTGTGTCCCGGTCTGTGATGAGTACGAGCATGTGTGTAAGTACAGTCAGGCTCTCTGAGCAGCGGAGACTACGCAGGGACAGTCCCGGCGGCCTGGGCTATGGTGCCTCCTCCCTCTCTTCTCCAGGTCATGAAGCTCAGGAAGGAGCTGGCGCAGTAAGCAATCATCACCAGGCAGGCAAAGAACTGGCGGAGAAATCAGGAAATCAAAACAGTTAGAGACAACACCCGTTTTCAAACAAAATCGGACCTAACAGAATAGAGGGTATTTTTTAAACCTCTGATTTGTGTTTCAATAAGTGTACATAGGGAACATGTAAAGATTTTTTTAAATTATTTTTATTGATTTAATTTTATTTCAAAAAGGGTCACTTTGATATTTGCTTTAAGCAGTTCTTAAAATCAAACCAGTTTTGAAAGTGGCTTTAGGTGAGAGCAATCTTCAGTACTGGAGGTTAAAGCTTTAATATTTTGTTTATTCCATGCTGAAAAGAGAAGAAAGAAAACAACGTTTCGAGCTCACACCTGAAGAAGGCTCCACAGCCCAAACGTGTTTTCTCTCTTCCCTTTTCAGCACGGAATAAACCTGTTACTTGTTCCTTTGCAGCCTACGCATGCTGACGCAGCTCCCCACCTGCTTCTAATATTTTGTCCATTTTTAAATTTTCACTTTCTGCAGAGGTTATACAAATAATTCGATTTCAAAGATAATGGAGAATTAAGAGTTCCCACTCCCCACCCTGAGCAACACTTCCCTGCAAAGGAGAATAAAGTCATTAATAGACTTGAAGGAGCTCAAAGGTGAGCTGAGTTATGGTAGGCACCATCATTAGTGTTTTATCACAGGATAAAAAGAACTCGTGACTGAATCCTCAGCATGCCCATTCATCGTATATTTATTTTTCCAACTTGATATCTTGGGTTTCTCTGATTCATGAGTAGAGAGGTACATTCCTTTTATAGCTTTGACTTCTGTACGTTAGCTACAGGGAAACATTCTTTATTAACTAATCCCGACCAATAAAATGCATACAAATTAAAATAGAAAAATAAAGCTTCCAGGTCTTATACACACAGAATCCTGACCTCCTGACTGCTTCCAAGCTGTCAAAAATACTGTAAAAAGTGTTACATGCAACGTCGTGTGTTTTCCTCTTAAAGCAGTAACATTTTTGTTGCTGTTTTCCGGAATATTACACGTCGGGCAGCTCATTCTGACGGTCCTGTACAAAGTCCACGAGGGCTCTGCCCTGGGAGCCGTGCGCCTCAACAAGCTATGATCTCTTGCACCCTCTCCGTGTTGCTCTCATGAGTGACTCACTGTGGCCATGAGCCCTGCAGCAGTGTCTGTGCCTCCCTCTGCCCCCCTGCCCTCACTCAGACGGTGTCTGTGCGCTCCGTACCCTCAGACAGCAGGGCGGTCTCAGTCGCCAGGTCAGCGGAGTGTGTATTACTGTCTCAGTTTGCATCGCGGTGAAAAGCCGTGTGACCGGTTTTCCGCGAGACCGATATCGTGCAGCTTTCGATGCTGCCTTGGCAGGCCAGGTGCGGGACTGAGCTCAGTGCCAGCTCTCCCTTTCCTTACAAGCGTCTGCAAGCTGGCTCTCGGGAAGAGGTCAGCTGCTGGGAATTAAGTCAACGCAGGTCAGGTGTGCTGATCAATATCTGTACTCGCTTACTGGATTGATCCACTTCCTGGCCTGTGCAGGCATCTCGTTTTCAGCTCCAGGGATTGCAGTTTCCATTTACCCCTGGAGCAATCTTCCATCCCTGACTTTAAATGTCATTTGCAATGGTTCCCACACCTGGTGCGAATACACCTCCTGAGGCCAGTGCTTGTATGCAGCCAGTGTTTTGGCTCTTACTGTATTCTGTGCTGGTGACTCACTGGGATCTTTAATTCAGTGTCACGGTCCCACTGGAGAACCTCTCAAGCATTCAGCTTCATTTTATCGTCTCACTTACTGCAGCTGCAGCCAAGTTGTTAAAGTTCAGCGTCCCAGCGATGAAGTAGGGAGTGATGGAGGCTGAGGCGGTCAGGAACGCAGTGATGTAGAGGACAGCAGCAGTGACGTTAAAGGCCAGGAGCTGCTCAGGGAAGAAAATTAAGGCAGCCTTCACAGAGGGTACACACTCACTCTGTCTAGAACCTTAATGAAAGCAGTTTGTTTGAAGTCACAATTCATCAAAATACCCAAACAGCCAAGCAACATGTCTCCATTACTTTACTAATTTTATTGTTACAGAGCTACAATGGTATGATCTAGAGTTCAGTAAAAAACATGCCACAAAAATGCATGCATTTTTAAGCAAAATAAAGGTGATACATCAAAAGTATCAGTACCACTAACAAAAAGGATAGTCATTCCCACTGCAAAACACAATCTGCTCCTCAGGTGAATCTCTGACTGAGCTGAGAATTTAAAGACTGCCACCTACCACAATGGTCCAGGGCACTGACACCAGCTTGCTGTTGATCCTCAGGAAGTAGATGAAGAACACCAGGATGGTCAGGATCCACAGAAAAACGCTGACAAACATCACCCAGCCGAACCCAGGAACCCTGAAGTACTGTGTGCTGGCAATGAGAGCCCACACCAGCAGCCCCAGGGCCTGTGCAAAGCAGAGCAGCGGTCAGTGGTCAGTGGGTCAGTGGCCTGAGCTCCACCTGACCTCCGATTGCAACAGTCTCTGTCTTACAGTATTGCACGAGAATAAGGTCTAATTAACATGAGGGTGCAAGACTGCTTCAGATCTGTGCTACCTTACAGATTCCCTTCCCTATGCGCTGCGATGTTTGAGACAGGGCTTTTGGGTGGTATTTGATTTTTTTGTCTTTTCTTGTAATTAGATCCACTTTTTCTCAGATTGCTTTGTCATTCATTTGATCATTAGACAGCTGCACTATATGTAACGTAAAAGCGACAGTTACCTATTGACAACAATAACAAAACAGCACTTGTGCAACTACCAACATGTGGGAACTCTGGGCTTGAAGCTAAACAAAAAAAAATACAATAACCTGATTAAAACTGACTTGCAGCAAAAAGAGATTCCGTACACAATATGGGTTTGCAATTAACTGTTCCATTATTAATCCCAGATAGTGTTACGAACCATGGTGACATGGGAAATGCTACTCGATACCTATTATTAGCACTACGGCAAACCTGCAATCATGCTTCATGCGCTGCCGTATACAGTATGTGTCCTCTCGCCCATATGAGCAACAGGGGAGAAATCACCTAAATCTGCCGAGAGAGCACTGCGTCCCAGGACAGGCACTGCAGTAGCTTTATCTGCGTGGCCTGTATTGAAAGAGTACTGGAAGTTCGGATTAAACGTATCTCAGTTCTACCGTTAAGGTAAACACATTTATACTCCTGTGGAGGAGAGTCCCCTGCCTGTTTCAGTACACTCTCCTCAGCTAGTCCCTCTTAAGACCCTGATTTATTACCAGTCCTGAGGGAAGCACAAGCTAAAGGCATATCTCTTTACACCTCTCTTTATGATGTGGCACTATAAAACATAATTCCAGTCTCACCTTTTTTGTTACAGAATATAGGTGCTTTTTCAGTGATGGGCATTACACAGTGGTATTGCATGCTGGTAACTTGTTTGTTGGCATGACAATTATCTGGCCTCGATGATGTGTTGGCCATACCTGGTCTATTTTCATGGCAGGGAATTAAATACGATTTCATTTGCATTGATGGTTTTCCACGGAAATCCAAACACTCTGTAGTACCAGAAATTCTTTATTTAGCCTGATGAAGAAAATATTTCATGACTTTGAAAAGAGTGTCTTTTTTCCTGCCTTCAGCAGCACACATCTCCACGCAGTGTGTTAAACTCCTGAGATTCATTCTAAATGGAAGCAGACAAATGAAGAGGCCTTTCGGGGATCAGTCTAACACAGTTCAGTGCAGCCAATTATTAACCCTTTGTCATGCTTGGAAGGAAACGAGAAGGTGAAAAAAGCCACACGTCATGCAGACTGTGTCTATCAACTTAGCGCTACGTACATTTGTAAGTCAAATATTTGCAGAGGTCTGTGAAGAATAAGAAACTGTTCTTTGTCCTATCAGAAAGACTTCCTTGTGCAGAATTATTGGCGTGTTTTAAGCATGACGATACTGCACTGTGCTGTTGTAGTTTTTATCCCTGAGGTAAAAAATATTTACACACTGAGCCTTATTCCTACAGCGCTCAGAGGGCCTTTATCTGCAGCTTCAGCCTCTTCTGACCAGACAGGTTCAGCAAGCCCATAATAAATTCAGCAAGTCGTTCTTGAAGTCGCTCAGTGAGACCAGAGTCTCAGAGCAGTCATGGCAAACAGCCACGTGCTTGAAAACAGAATCCGGAAACCCCAGAACACAGTGTTTAACTGCCTCTCTTCCAGCCGCAAGGGAGAAATTCTGGTCAATCCAAAGCACAAGTACTTGACTGAAAACAACTTACAAAAAGTGTCAGTGCAAGAAAGGAAACGGTTCAGTGCAGACGTAGTGCTACAGCAGAGTGCCCATTGGGCACCAAGAGCAGAGTCACTTTAGACTGACCAGAAGCTTCTCTTCCTCGGGTCACAGTGACGCCCCAGGGACACAGGCCAGGACCTACGTGCCCAGCTCGTCCTGTTCCTAGGGAACATTCAGCAAATACAAGCTTCCAAACCTCTACAGAGCGTTTAAGGTCAGAGGCACTAAACTAAACAAAAGGAGAAGACGAGTTGTTTTCCCCCTCTGTCTCACCTCAGCGGTCTGCTGTAAGTGTGTTTACGTCATTGGCTCATGATCTGAATCAATTAAAAAGGAAGTCGTGCTAAATGAATTATAGTAATATTAATCGGAATGCCGATGGTGTTAAATGACATAAGGGGGCTTTTTAAAAAGTGCTCATAAAGAAAACTGCATAACAGTGAAGAGGGTTTGTTTTTAGAATTCTTCACAGCTAACCCATGACCAGCGAGGCGCTTGGTGGAAAATGAAATTGAACCCTCTGGCTCTCCTATTACAACATATGTGAAGACACACCCATAGTAAATATTGACAGTGGAACCTCCAGCTTAGCTGATTAACTTACGATTTCGGTGATCATGAGGATGGCGGGGACAGTCCTGATGAAGATCAGATCCAGGGAGATGAGCCTGACAGAAAAGCCCTGGACGGCCGTCTGAGAGGGGGAGCTGGTCTCCGTGTTCACTTTGCCTGGAAACTCTGCCATGACTCCCGACAGGGTAAATAAGCTCCAGTACAGCACACCTGCGCGCGACGCTAACTGCCGAGGACGGGCAGAGGAGTTTCAGACGCCCGGTTTCTCCAGCTGTGAATACCCAGGTGTCCGGGGACGAGGCTCTCCTGCCCTGTCTGTACTCTTGGCTTGGTAGGTGCTGGCTCTCTCACCTCTGCCTGCGCTCACCAGACAAGCGGCTCAGGGCGTTCACCCAGGGCAAACATTTACATACTGCACTGTAAGATGAGCTCTCCGCTGTTCCAGCCCTCGTCACTGAAGGGCAGCGCGCGCCGCATGCCTGCCCAGAAAGAACTTTCTCACCCACCGCTGACGGATCGATAGCACTCCTGCAAGATTAAGATAAGAAAACTGCAGTTGGGTTGGTGTGTTATTTGGCTGGGGGGGGGAGTTTCACTGTGCAGTGAATTACTTTGCTGTGGCAATTAATTGCCCAAATAATGATTGCAGAAAATCTGTGAGGGTTTGCTATTTATAAGTGCCGAGACCCGGGAATGTTAGTTTTCTCTGTAGTTTGAATAAGTATAAATTAACCCGAGCAGGGGTTGGCAGGGGGCCTGGCATTTCAAGCTGCTGCCTCACAGATCTGGGGTCCTGGGTTTGATTCCAGACTGGAGACTCTTCTGTGTGGAGTGTGCATGGTCCCCTATGTCACATCTGCGTGGATTTTCTTTGAGTGCTCAGGCTCCCTCCCACAGTTCAAAGCCATGCCGATTAACTACTGTAAATGGTCCCTCTCTCCATGGCCTTGCAATGGACTGGTCCTGTCGGCCATGTGCTTTCAGTCCAGCCTCAGCCTTCCTCATACTGCACAGCATACTGCACTTCGGGCTTCTGGTAATGGGCAGGAAAGCAGAACCTGTAGAGAACTGGAGTGGACCGGCAGAGTCAGGAAGTCAGGAGGCCAAGACATTAGACATCTGGAGATCCTGTGGGGGGAGGGGCTGCGATCTTCCTGCTTCTGACACCAGGCATAATACTGGAAGCAGTCAGCATGTCACAGGAGATGATAAGAGCTGGAATGTTTCTTATCTTGTGATCTGGTTACAGTGTAGGTGATATTCTGGCTAAGTACAGATTCAGGAACCTGTGTGTTCAACCTTTTGGATTGCAAATCCTTAATTTCATTGCCTCTTCCCTGAGTACGTCCTGGTCTCAAAGGGCAGCTCCCACAGGGATGTGTATGCGGGCTGTTTAAGGGAGCTGCCAGAGAGATTACTGGAGAATGCAGCTCAAGTACAGTACGAGAAAGTACAGTATGTCTCCTGCTCTTTAAGTAAAGTTTTATTCACATGATCTGGCCGGATTGGTTTATACCTTCACAATATTGCAATTACCCCTCCCACTCAGGACACGGAGAAACTGTTCGGAAACGAATCTGACGTTCTGGGACACCGCTGTGTTACAGGTGTGAGTACAGATACCTCCAGCTGGGATGTTAAAGGATGTTAAAGGTGCCCTTGTTGGCACCGCCTACAGGGAGAGCAAAAAACAACACTCTTGTTCTGAGCCAATAACCAAGCAGAGTAATAACAATTATAATCATTAATAATTGCCTACACTTATACAGATCTTTTTCTGGACACTCCACTCAAAGCGCTTTACAGGTAATGGGGATCCCCTCCACCACCACCAATGTGCAGCATCCACCTGGGTGATGTGACAGTCCGCTCCCCACACACCAGCTCTCAGTGGGGAGGAGACCGGGGTGATGAAGCCAGTTCATAGATGGGGATTATTAGGAGGCCATGATTAGTGAGGGCCATTGGGACCTTTGGCCAGGACGCCGGGGTTACACCCCTACTCTTTTTGAGAAACGCCTTGGGATTTTAAATGACCACAGAGAGTCAGGACCTCGGTTTAACGTCTCATTCAAAGGACGGCGCCTCTTTATAGTATAGTGTCCCCGTCACTATACTGGGGCATTAGGATCCACACAGACTGCAGGGTGAGCGCCCCCTGCTGGCCCCACTAACACTTCTTCTAGCAGCAGCATTTTCCCAGGAGGTCTCCCTACTCCCAGAGTATCAAAATGCAAACGGATGATCGTCCCTAATCAATGTTTATTGAATGAACTATTCCATAACGATGACAATTGCCGAGTTGGCCACATATTGCAAACGCTGTTCAAATGACATTTAATATAGGCAGGTGCGGGGTTTTAAGTGTAGGAAACGAAAACCTGAACTATAAATATCGGAAAGGAAACAGGGCTTGAAGAAGATAGAGGTTGTGAGGCTTTCAACTTTCAAATAAGCCGGCGCAGGAGTTTCCCTGAGCTGCCCGCTCTATACAAACACGCGTGAGAGTGAGCGCCGCCTCTCTGTGCTGGCGGACACGACTCGCGTACGTGGCGAGGAATGAGGACTCGGCACGTCAGCCTGGAGATGAGACCTCCTTATGTCTGGCTTTTGCTCCGCTTAAGACATTCAGTTAAACGCGTTCAATAAGCGCTCCTCCCTCACACAAGACAAGAAACCAGAGGTGACGTGAAAAACATTCAGGATGGTGAGTAATAGTATTATACTATTACAAAAAATTAAATAAAAACATGATGTGCAATGTTTTTTTTTTATGGGTGACCATAAAAAGCGTCCCTCAGGGGATAATAAAATCTTATCTAATAGGCAGCGCTTGTGTGACTGCAAATATTCAGATCTAGTTGAACTCTGAAAGAAATGCATTTGGAAAGTTGTGCTCGTTCGGATTTGCGTTATTTCCAACAGTGCAGATCTACGAAGTGTGAGAGGCAGCAATGAGACAATCGAATGACAGCAGGGAGCGCGATTTGGTACCAGTCAGGATGGCCGAGCGGTCTAAGGCGCTGCGTTCAGGTCGCAGTCTCCCCTGGAGGCGTGGGTTCGAATCCCACTTCTGACAAAGGTCCTTCTTTTGATATTTTTACATAAAAAACAACAACATTGTGCGAATAAAATAATTTAAGAATGCTATCTTTTTCGTACGCCTGCAACAATGTATAATAGTTTTAATCTGGTTCGACCGAATCCCTCTTCGTGAGTTGGTCAATACGAAACAGCCACCTTTTAATACTGATTATTATAGCTGAAGGAGTAAATTTTGCAAACGGCAAAATTAATAACAAATAATCGAATATCAAATTTGTCTTGTAAAGCATTTGGTGGTGGTGGAGGGGAGTCCCCATTATCTGTAAAGCGCTTTGAGTGGAGTGTGCAGAAAAAAAGCTCTATATAAGTGTAAGAAATTAGAAATTATTAATTTATTTTTTAAAACATTTTTAATAACGGGGGAAGTGACACAAAAAAAATACATTTGTCAGAAGTGGGATTCGAACCCACGCCTCCAGGGGAGACTGCGACCTGAACGCAGCGCCTTAGACCGCTCGGCCATCCTGACATACGGAAAACATGCGTTTAGGTGTCAGTTTCTCTGCGTCACACACAGCACATCGTAGCTGTAGCCTTCCAATGCACGAGTAAAGGTGCGTATTATTTTCTCCCCATTTATCTTCACTAAAGGGTCCGCCGTTCTACCGGCCCGGCCGTGGTCTTCACGCTGCCGGGAGGTCGCAGCCCGGCGGTTTCTGCTCGGCGCGGAAGTGGAGCGGCCCCACGCCGGCGCGGTCCTGCGCGGAGTGCGGCTGCGCGGCGAGCAGCACCTGGCCGCCTCGCCGGTGCGCAGGGCAGTGAGCCCGAGGTTTCGGCACAGCCTTCCGCCCCGGCAGACGCAGCGGGCAGGAGTCATGCCCGGCCTGAGCAAGCTCCCTCTGGAGGCGAAGGTGGCGATGGCGACGGGGCTGGTGTTTTTCTCCATGCTGGTGTCCAGGTCCGTCTTGTCCGCCCGGATCCCGGAAGGCACCAGAGCCAAACTCTTCAGGCTGCAGTTTCTGCTCTTCGTCAACTCCCTCATGCTGATTGGCTCGGTGCGCATCTGGAAGCGGGTGGCGGTGGGCCTGTGCCGGTGGCGGGGGGAGTCGTGTCTGACGCACTGCTGGAAACTCGCCGTCCTGCTCTTCCTCACCTCCGCCCACTCCAGCTTCCTCACCCTGCTGGTTCTGGTGTCGGAGGAGCCCTCCTGGATCGGTCTGGTCACTTACACCTGCCTGGGGTCCTACGTTATCCTGCTGTTTTTCCTCTTCGTGTTCGGGTGGCTGGACCAGGCCCGCAAGCTGCTGGCCGGCAGCAGGTCGGCGGCGTCGCAAGCGCCGGGGGCGGCTGACCGGCACCCCAAGAGGAAGGACGTGCTGGCTATCGGGGTGACGCTGGCTCTCACCGTCCTGGGGCTCCTCAACGGCGCCCAGCCTCCCGCGGTCGTGCGTGTGGAAATTCCCGTGCACAAACTGCCCCCCTCCTTCGATAACGCGAAGCTGGTCCTGCTGTCGGACATCCACCTGGGCCCCACGGTGGGGAAGAGCCGGCTGGAGATGATCGTTAGCATGGTGAACCAGCTCCAGCCAGGTGAGGACGGGCCGGGCGCAGCGGGCCTGCTGGGGTACGTGCGGTGAAGGCAGGGTTAGATCTGGTCAACTCTCATCCCCCTGTGTGTTTGAGTTCTAGTTTGTTTTGACCACCCCTCACACAAGGAATATGAGCTCCTGCCATCTGGGCTTCGATTTAAATTCAAGTGCAGTAGAAGTAAGATATCAGGTATTAACTTACACCTGAAGAAGGCTCCACAGCCGAAACGTTGTTTTCTTTCTTCTTTTTTCAGCATGGAATAAACCTATAACTTGTTCCCTGGTATTAACTTAGCTATTTTTGTCTTTCTAATTGTGCATGTATGTCTCTTCTGTGTTAATGGGTTCATGTTGTGTTAAGTGTCTTGTGTCTTGTACTTGTCTGCAAAGCACTTTCCCATCTGGGATATCGCTGGTGACTGCAGTGAAATAATGGGGGAGTGGAGAGATCTGTGTTAAAGCTGGCTGTTAAAGGATACTGGCTGGGAGATCGGGGTTAATCAGTATTCAAGAAACTAATGGTAAACTACAAAAATAACACATAATAATTGCCTTTATATAGTGCTCTTCATACCAGAGGATCCCTAAGCAATTTACATACAGGAGGGACCCACTTCATCCCCCAGTGACATGCAGCCCCCCAGCACACAGGTCAGGGGGAGGAGAGAGAGAGCTGGGGAGGCCTGACTGCAAACTGGAGTTCAGGCAGGACACAGGGGTTAGCTCCCCTGCTTTTAAAAAGAGTGCCAGGGGATCTTTCAACATGCTTTATTGGCATGACCTATGAAATGCAGTGTTGGTAAAGCAGAAACAATAAACACAGCACTTTCAGATTTACTTATCTGAAGGTCTGCACTTCCTACAGCACAGTGCTGCCTGCCACTATACCAGGACATCAGCTTGTAACTTCTGGTCCATTTGACAAGAGCGCCATCTACTGATCCTCCAGCGCTGATACAGAAGAGGCCCAGCCTTGCTCAGCTGCTGCCATCTGTAGAGGTCTGGCAGGTGTTGCCCCCGGGTGTGAGGGTGTGGCAAACCTGCTCTTCTTGCAGGGTGTGCTTGTCCTGTTATTGAGGCCCGTTCAGACCCCTGTCCTGTTGCGGCTCATATGCTTCAATGGCGAAATCGTGCTTCACTTAATCGAGAGACCTGCGTCAGACAAACAATAGAAACCCAATTAAAAATTGGTTTACGTTTTGGCACATTTACAATCCCACCAGTTCTAGTGGTTCCAGCTCTCATCTGTTGCAATTTGAGTGCCTGTCTCCGTATACACGAATGTGCTAGTGAGGCGCAGTCCTTGTGCTGATGCACGTGCGAAGTTCTGGACCCCGGCTCTCTCCCAGCAGCCTTGTCCCTGTCCTTCCAGACATGGTGGCGATTGTGGGCGACCTGACGGACTCCCAGGTGGACCCTCTTCAGACTGTGACGGAGCCTCTGCGCCACATGAAGTCCAGGCTGGGCACCTACTTCGTCACAGGTGCAGCTCGGACGCTCCGGGCAGGGGAGGGGGCTGGGTGATTTCACAGCGACAAAGAGAAGACGCGTTTCATTTGTGCTTTGGCCTTCCTGCCCCCCCTCGCTGGCTCTGCCGCCGTCTCCCTGTCCCGCTGACGTTTGCTCTCTCCTGTTGCTAAGGCAACCACGAGTACTACACCGGGGATGTGGACCGCTGGTTCAGCCACCTCAAGACGCTGAACGTGCAGCCCCTCCACAACGGGAACGTCCGGGTCGCGCTGCCCGAGTCCAGCGAGGAGTGGTTCTGCCTGGCCGGTGTGGACGACCTGGAGGCCTCTGTGTTACAGTAAGCACCCTACACCCGTGCCCCCCCCGCCAGCCCTCATCATGCTGTGTCCTAGCCCCTACTGGACACTGACCAATACCCTGCCCAGACCCCGGGTCTCGGGCTCGGCCTGCTCCTCACTGCAGCCCCGTGCTGTTAGAGACAGCTGGCTCACTGGTCATTTTTTTCCATCAAAACTTTATTTCCGAAAGCAACATCTCACATTAGAAGCATTCTCACAAAATGAATAAACATTCTAACCAGGTAAGAACTTCGCATGCAATAGAAAATATCTGAACAGGGGTGATTGTCCATTAGCAATCCATGCAAGTGGATGATGGGGCCAGATTTGCGCCATTAAAGAGTCCCTCCAAGGCCTTCTTGCTTGTGTTCTTTAGTCCCTGTACAGGGCCCAGAGTCCTTTCCAGCGCTCCCTCTCCCTGGAGCTCCTCGCGTTCCACAGTCCTTGTTTCATCAGGGACAGCAGCAGCCACAGCAGGAACTGTGTCCCCTTGTCCAGGCCGGTGGGTGCCAGCCCCAGCGGGTTGTGCTGGTAACTGAGCACCACTCCCGTTCCCAGGAGTTTCATAGTGTTGTCCTCTCTGCCCCAGACCACTTTGGAAAAAGGGGCAGCTCCAGAACAGGTGCTCCTGAGTCTCCTCGATGAAGCACCTGTCCCGGGAGCTCACTGGCCATACTGGAGGCTTTTGCGCTAAACACAGGGCCAGCCACGTGAAGGAATGTGTTTTCTTGTGGGCGGGAGCTCGTCCTGCTGAGAAGGATTGCCCTTCTGGCGGTGCATCGCACTGTGGTGCTGACTGAATGTCTGTCCCTGCCAGGTACCCAGGGCATGGCATGGACTTGGCAAGGGCGCTGTCGGGATGCAGCACGGAGAAAGCCATCATCCTCCTGGCCCATCAGCCCCACGCCGCCAAGAGGGCACTACAGGAGCGCCCGGACATCAGCCTGGTACTCTCAGGTGCGTGAGCCGAGCCACACGATGAATTAGCTACCAGGAATAACTCCACATAGCACCGAGGCTTTCGTGGGTGTGTACACAGCACACAGACCCCTGGGCCACATTTCCCACCCCCAGCATGCTCTGCTGAAACCAGTAAGGCAGTGAAGTCTTCTTTGACATCTGAGGGAAGTCACTATCGTACTCCCAGTGTGCTCAACAAGCTCTCTGGAAGTCCCCTCTCCGCTGTTTGTGCTGTAAGGTGTTGGCGACTGAAGGCGTCAGCTGAACGTATCGAGTTGGGAGATGTGTCAGCGTGTGAACCTAAGAGTAACAAGAAGAGGTTCATTCTGCTCAGCTGATGAGACTCCTCACTAGAATATCTTTCTTATTTCTACTCTTTAGTATGTGATTAACTTCTGCTTGTTCATCACACAGGCAGAAGGGACAGCCCTGAGCACAAAGCCAGGTGTTCCTGGTGCTGGTCTCGGACATGTGCGCGCGTGTTCTCACAGACGCAGAGAGGCACAGAGAGTCTGTCATCCTCAAGTTTAACCTTCAGACGTTTGAGTCCGTGCCTCTTCGTTATTGAACACCTTTGCAGACTGGGAATGAGCTCTGCTGGTCTTTCCTCCCGGTCCTGCTCTGTCCCTGACGGACTTCACTGCAAGCCCTGGTGTCCCTCTGGAAGTGTAGTTTTTACAGCAGGGCGACAGTTATCCAACGGGCTTAAAAACGAAAGCTCTCCACTTTCTGCGATACAAAAGGGCAGTGCTGATAGAGACGACTGCGCATTGAGCTTCATTAGGTGGACAATGAAGAAAGTGACCAGGGAAGTCCAGCTCTGTGGCCCGGGGAGGTGATGATAGCCTGGGGTACCAGACCGTGATCGTGTTTACAGACAGTCTGAGTCTGCAGCCAGGGTCTTCAGGCGACTTCTTTAAGCAAACTAACAGAGGGCTGGCCCAGTGTGTGTGTGTCCCGAGCAGGGAGCTGCTGCACGGAGCAGAGTGGCAAGGAAGCTGTGCTACCAGGCAGAAAATATTTTTGCCACCAACACAGCGGTGCCAAGTCTTAAGGGACTGAAAGACACTCACTGTTTGTGCAGCCATACCACAGATTCTGAGGTTGCAGTCAACCTATAAATAAATGCAGTACTGTATGTACCACAGCATTGAATCTAGTGATCTCCCGGTCCCCCTGTTTCTTGCAGTGAACTCCCACCTGAGGGAGTTTAGTTTGCCAGTGTTACTACACTGCTCTCTCCAGGACCTGCAGGCCTTGACCTGTGTCTGATTGTAAAGGCCAGTGTCCGGCTGCACAAAACCCCTTGAGGATTCCTACCTCTCGCAAGTATGTCAGCTGGCCTTTTGAACTGTGAACTGAAGAAACTCTCCAGGGGAAAACTAATTGGAAGGCCTGTCCCGGTGGTGATCATGACCTACGACCTGGGCTCCCTGAAGGAGCAGAAAAAGTGGGAAAAGAAGGGGTGAATCTTTTGGAAGAGCTAAATTGAGAATTCCTGTCATCTCCGAGACACGGATAAGGCTGCACGCTGCTTCAGCATGATAAACATTTCCTGTGTGGTGAGGTGCCGGGAGACGCCGGCAGAGGCTCGTTCCCTGGACTGGTCATTCGTTCTGAGAAGACGAGCTGCCGACCGGCTGGGCTGTGTCGCGGTGTTGTGGCCAGACCAGGATGCTGCTGAGGTGTGAAGGGGCAGAACCGTGTGTTTCGGCGTCAGCCGGAAGGCGGAGCGTAGCTTCCAGTAAACCTGCGCGGTGCCGCATTCCTCCCGGCGGCACGTTGATCAACAGGGGGAGGGGTGCTTGCCTGTCTAATTTGAGCCTGTAGGCAGTGGGGATGGTTAAAGCAGTACTTTGCAAAGCGAGATGTGTGGGTGACAATTCCCACCTTCTCAGTGGGGCTGGGGTTCAGGTGTGGGCTAATTCTCCACTTTGTTTGTAAACATATTGTATAATACGTTTAGGTCACACTGGCAGAGGCAAAGGTACTCATGGATCATATCCAACCCACACTGAAGAGCAGAGCAGACTTATAGCCTTGGGGTGTTTAGTGCAGTTGTGTTGGCTTTAAAACAAACAAAACGTTCCTGATAGTTTTATCTTCATGCCTTTTTCATAGTGTGTTAATTGGTTCAGCTGATTGTAATCTGGATATTATTTTGTTTTGACAATACTGTACAAGTTTTTTTGTTCGATTATCATATTTCTTTGTTCCTGTAAATTTACTGTTCAAAGCCACACTCACAGTTACGTGAGAGGACCTTGATATAACTGCTGGAAATAGCAGCAGTGTTCAGTCGTTCTGCTGAAGCTGAACTTAATTAAAATAAAATGTATAAATTATTGATAAAATTCCAGCCTGATGTAAGAGCAGCAATCAGGACTCTGCACTCCTGACAGGGTGGGATCAGGGGATCGGGGGCTTGGTGGTTCAGATCCCAGGTGACACCCTGCCGCTGTACCCTTGAGCCAGACTCAGCGAGATGCATTGCACCAGCAGTGAATAATGACAGCGTGTGGTCTGCTCAGCTTTGCCCCCTCACTGCGTCCGTCTTGTCTTGTCTTCCCCAGGACACACCCATGCCGGCCAGATCTTCCCCCTCAGCATCCCGGCCTACCTCTTGAACCCTTTCTTCGCTGGCCTGTACCGCGTGGGAGACAGCAGCTTCGTGTACGTGACCCCCGGCACCGTGTACTACGGCGTGCCCATGCGCATCGGCAGCAGAGCCGAGATCACGGAGATCATCCTCAAGTCGCCTTCGGGACCCGACACCAGCACAGGCGCACGAGGAGAGAGAGCTTCCTAATCTTTGTGAACACCTGAATAATTCCATTTTGCACTAAGAACCCCTGTCCCTGCGCAACAGCAGGAGCCTGGTTTACAGAACGCCTCCTCTCTGCTCTCCCTGCGTTCATGCGAACTTGCTGTCCTACCAGAGAACGTGGGATCCTGCCCCCCGCCCCCAGCGGAAAGAGAAGCCTCCAGGTTTGGTCAGCATTCCATCTGCGTTGTGCCATCGCCTCAGCTCCGCCCGGGTGTCCCGAATTCCACCAGGGACAGCGGCGGCTCTGGACCCAGCCTGTCCCCGTGGGCAAGGGAGGGGGGATGGGGGAGGGCTGGCAGCCTTCTAGTCTTTCAGATTGCTTTAGGCCTTTTGAAAAAAATGCAGATCTTCCAGAGCCGGTTTGTGGGTTTCCCTCTGATCGACACTTGAACGGCAGCTGTT